CGTGTATGTGTGTATGTATGTAAGTAAGTAAGTATGTATGTAAGTATGTATGTATGTATGTAAGTATGTATGTATGTATGTATATATGTATGGTAATGTAATGTAATGTCATGTCATGTCATGTCATGTCATGTAGTGCAATGGTATGGTATGGTATGGTATGGTATGTATGTATGTATACCTATTGTGTATATATTATATCTTATATAGTTATTTCTACACACAGCTTAACAGTATGCTATCAACCTCTGAACCCGCGATTGATTTGGATCAAAGACACTGGGCCCTCGCCAACTACCTGATGGGAAAACGCTACTAACAGCAGAGTATTGAGGGAAAAAGGCTGCAGAAGTGGTGGACAAAAAGCGCTGCTTACGGTGGCCTTTTAACCAAAAATAGGAATAGTTATTTATGTATCTAAGTATTGACAGATATACATACATACATACATACATGCATACATACCAATACATACCAATACATACCAATACATACCAATACATACCAATACATACCAATACATACCAATACATACCAATACATACCAATACATACATACCAATACATACCAATACATACCAATACATACCAATACATACATACCAATACATACATACCAATACATACATACATACGTACATACATTACATACATTACATACATTACATACATTACATACATTACATACATTACATACATTACATACATTACATACATTACATACATTACATACATTACAAACATTACATACATTACATACATTACATACATTACATACATTACATACATTACATACATTACATATATTACATACATTACATACATTACATACATTACATTACATTACATTACATACATTACATACATTACATACATTACATACATTACATACATTACATACATTACATACATTACATACATTACATACATTACATACATTACATACATTACATACAGTACATACATTACATACATTACATACATTACATACATTACATACATTACATACATTGCATACCTTACATACATTACATACATTACATACATTACATACCTTACATACATTACATACATTACATACATTACATACATTACATACATTACATACATTACATACATTACATACATTACATACATTACATACATTACATACATTACATAACATTGCATTGCATTGCATTGCATTGCATTGCATCCATTACATCCATTACATACATTACATACATTACATACATTACATACATTACATACATTACATACATTACATACATTACATACATTACATACATTACATATTACATTCATTACATACATTACATACATTACATACATTAAATACATTACATACATTACATACATTACATACATTACATACATTACATACATTACATACATTACATACATTACATACATTACATACATTACATACATTCCATACATTACATACATTACATACATTCCATACATTACATACATTACATACATTACATACATTACATACATTACATACATTACATACATTACATACATTACATACATTACATACATTACATCCATTACATACATTACATACATTACATACATTACATACATTACATACATTACATACATTACATACATTACATACATTACATACATTACATACATTACATACATTACATACATTACATACATTCATACATTACATACATTACATACATTACATACATTACATACATTACATACATTACATACATTACATACATTACATACATTACATACATTATATACATTACATTACATACATTACATTACATACATTACATTACATACATTACATACATTACATACATTACATTACATACATTACATTACATACATTACATTACATACATTGCATTACATACATTGCATTACATACATTGCATTACATACATTACATACATTACATACATTACATACATTACATACATTACATACCTTACATACATTACATACATTACATACATTACATACATTACATACATTACATACCTTACATACATTACATACATTACAGACATTACATACATTACATACATTACATACATTACATGCATTACATACATTACAGACATTACATACATTACATACATTACATACATTACATACATTACATACATTACATACATTACATCCATTACATGCATTACATACATTACATACATTACATACATTACATACATTACATCCATTACATGCATTACATACATTACATCCATTACATACATTACATACATTACATCCATTACATACATTACATACATTACATACATTACATACATTACATACATTACATACATTACATACATTACATACATTACATACATTACATACATTACATACCTTACATACCTTACATACCTTACATACCTTACATACCTTACATACCTTACATACCTTACATACCTTACATACCTTACATACATTACATACATTACATACATTACATACATTACATACATTACATACATTACATACATTACATACATTACATACATTACATACATTACATACATTACATACATTACATACATTACATACATTACATACATTACTTACATTACATACATTACATACATTACATACATTACATACATTACATACATTACATACATTACATACATTACATACCTTACATACATTACATACATTACATACATTACATACATTACATACATTACATACCTTACATACATTACATACATTACATGCATTACATGCATTACATTACATACATTACATACATTACATACATTACATACATTACAGACATTACATACATTACATACATTACATTACATTACATTACATTACATTACATACATATATATATATATATTCACATATATGTATATATATATATATATCTATCTATCTATATATATATATATTTATTCACATACATACATACATACATACATATATGTATATATATGTGTGTATTCACATACATATATATATAACCACATGTTTATATTCACATATATATATATATTCACATAAAATACGTGTATATATATATATTTATTCACATAATATACGTATATATATATATGTACATTCACATAATATATTCATATATATAGCATATGTAGCGTATCACCAATTGGGATCATCATACCAAATGAAGGGAATGGAGATGATCCCCTGACTTTTTGTAGACTGGAGCGATATTCCAACGTTTTTTTTGGGCTCGATAAGTGACCCATTTCAGGGGCTTCACAAAATGGGGAATCCCCAAATCCGGTTCATTGGATGATTTGGGGGTACCATTTTAGATCTATCATGACTATCATGTGGTCGGGAAACTCGGAGGAGCTCCTGAGCCGCAGTTTTTTTCAAAGCTCGAAATCGATCGAAATGTCGTTGAGACTGGTTGGTGAATTTGGATTCCCCTAACCCATCTGCTCCATGTATGGAATATTTACCTACAAAACTGGGTGATTTTGTTCGGGCAAATGTTGATAATTTTTATATAAATATTCCATACATGGAGCATCTGGGTAATGATTTGTGATCATCCCCAATTTTTGTTGGCGAGAATCCCCGAACTCATCATCAACCCCGGGGGTAACTGAACAGTGTTCTCTTTGGCGAAAGCCACGGAAAGCCATAGTTCCTTAAGTCCCTCCGGGCACGCGGATAGCAACTGTCTTAGTTATATCATTGGATAATATGGAGATGTTCATTATCAGTCGTATAATATGATGGATACTTAGATATAATTAGATATAATTAGATATAATTAGATATAATTAGATATAATTAGATGCAATGAGAATATGAGATATAATTATTATATATATATAGATATATAGTTAGATATAATTCGATGTAATTAGCTTAGATATAATCCCAAGTGTATCACCATTAAATCACCATTCATACCCACCTCTGCCTGTTTTTTCTCACGCCGCCGCCGCCGCGGCAGGGAAGGCCGTCAGGTCCTAGCGGCCGTTCGGCTCAGTGGGAAATCGCCAGGTGTCAGGTGGTTTGAATGGTGATTTTATGGTGATTCAACGGTGCTTGAAATCTTTGAAATCGTGGTTTTGGATGGTTGAAATCTGAAATCGGATGTTGAAATGGTGGTTTTGGGATGGTTTAGGCTGGTTTTAGCTGGCGTTAAAGGGAGCTTAGGCTGTTGTTGGTGGTTTTAGCTCGTTCATGTTCCGAACGGATTTCTATTAGATTGCATTAGGTGGCTCAAAATGATCTACTTTCGAGAAATTGAGATGTCATCGGTGGGTCCACCGGACCCCAACGCTTTCACAGGCTTTACAGCCGTGTAGCGACGGTTCAGGTAGCCACTATCTGAGCCAAGCGATGGTTCGATACATCGAAACATCCCCACAAAAAAAGGGTCAAAGTGGGTCCATTCTGCTACAAAACCATCCAATTTTGGAGGTCATTACTTTTCAGCTTTGCCCAAAGCCATTGTTGGTGAATATTGGCTTATATATGCTTATATATATATATGCTTATAGTGCTTACATATGCTTGCATGTCCTGATATATATAGTTATATATATATATAAACATTCACTTCATGCTTCTTTTTTGAGCGTTGCAGACCAAGCTTGTCAATGATTAAAAGGGAAATTCGGATAATTAAAATGTTAATTCGGATAATGGAT